TTTCCATTGTTGCCGTTATTACTGTCAAAAATAATGTTAATGTCTTCATTATTGCCGTAATTATTGCCACTGTTTGTGACTACTGACGGTTCCTCTCGTTCGCCATCTCCGCGACCGCCGCCGTTTCTGCGGCCACCTCCATTGCTGCGGCCACCGCCGTTGTTATTCGCCATAAGAGATTAAACAGGTATGTGAATTGGATTGGGTGAAAAAGTGGGTCGAACATAAATTTTTTTCGGGGCTACGCCTGAACCCCACTAGTTGTATGAACCCCACTAGTCGTAGAAAACTTTACGGTAACCCTAACCTAGAGCTCTCGATACCATATTGGAAGAAATAGATAAAAGCTGTTGTAATTTTATTTCTCAGGCAAATGCTGGTTTATATAATGAGAATACAATAAAAATATTTTATTCTCTCTTTAATGGAGAATAAAAGAAAATAAATGATAATAAACGTAAACAATTAAATATGGAAATAAAATATTTTCCATTATTTATAATTTGTATATCTTTCTCTTTCAACCATATAACTTGTCACTTCACATTCCTAGGATGAGTTGCGTCATATAAGTGGAGAGTTGGAGGGATTGCTTCTTCTACTGAAAGAGTTGAGCGATCGAAACTACTGGGTTGACGGTTGCTTCAGGGTTATTCAGTACTGTGTTGAGAACAATCATTTAAGGTTTGATTTCTATTTTCCTCCTGTATTGAATTGAAATTGTATTATTGTATTACTCTATTTGTTTGTGTTCATGTTTCATTGTATCTGGGTCAGTTCTGCTGTTGAACTATTCAAACAACTCAAGGATAATTTTGAAAGTGATGAAACAATGACAGAAGTTCTTTTCGATGCAGTAAGTTCTAGTTCCCTCCTGACATAATGTGTATAATAAGGATTCACTATTATAGGAATTAAAACGTTGAGCAAATATTTCTGTTTGTTTGAGTTTTAAACTCTTTGACGCTGCTCTTTGTTTCGAAGCATGATGTTTGTTCCCACTGGCAAACATATTATTGATATAAACTTTGTTCATGTATATATGTATAGGTGTATTCTCTAATCGCGGGATCAAAGTCCTCACGTTTGCAGTTTGGCTTAGACTTGCTTTGGGCGATCAAGGATGAACTCGGCCTTGTTCCTTCAAGGCAGTGTCTTGATTTTCTTCTAAGTGCCTGTGCTAATTCAGGAGATTTGAATAATGCTCGTTTAATTTGGAGAGAATACGAGGTTGCTGGATTTCCTTACAATGTATTAAGTTACGTGAGGTGAGTTTACAACTTTGATAGTGTTTTTTTCCCTTTTCCAAATAGTATTATTCTTATCCATATTGATTATTTGTATGATTGTAGGATGTATCAAGCACTTTTGGCATCTGGAGATCAAAGATCTGCCGCCTTTATACTAAAAAAAATTCCTAAAGATGATGCGGAGATTCGTACTGTCATATCAGCATGTCAAAAAACTTACGTTGATAAAGTTAAATCAGTAGAAGGGGAGAAGAAAAATATGGTTAAGTCAGTAGGTGGTGTGAAGAAGAAAAAGAATGTTGAATCAGTAGAAGAGGAGAAGAAGAAAAATATGGTTAAGTCAGTAGGTGGTGTGAAAAAGAAAAAGAATGTTAAATCAGTAGAAGAGGAGAAGAAGAAAAAGGATGTTAACTCAGTAGAAGAGGAGAAGAAGAAAAAGGATGTTAAATCAGTAGAAGAGGAGAAGAAGGAAAAGGATGTTAAATCTGTAGAAGGGAAGAAGAAGAAGAAAAAGAAAAAGAAAAAGAAAGGAACAGAAAAGAAACAAGAGAGTGAAGTGAGTGTTGAGTAGAAAGTTGAATTAGTTGTAGGGTAGAAACATTTGTCCCACAAATTTTTAGTTGGCTTAAGAATTGTGCTTCACAAAGGGTGATGCATTTCACATGTAATAGTGTGGTGGCACTAAATGCTGAACCTATTTTATGTCTATTTTGTGACTCTATTTGCTTGACATAGTTAGAGAAAAGAGTTTTCTTAAGAAATGTAGACTACATAGGTAAATTCTCTTAAAAATGTACCACACAAACTGATAATTCTCTAATCCAATTTAAAATTCTATAGCACTATGTCATTGTCCTATTTTGTTTTTATATCATTTTAAAACTCATTCAAATAATCTATCTTTCACATTTTGTGTGCGCGCGCTAAAATCACTTGTGTAGTATGAGAAAATAGAGGATTATCCTCACATAAAATGATTGACAAATTTGATTTTATCTTACATAATACAAGCCGAAGATGGCCCCAAGTATGAAGAGAGTTCATATTTTAATAAGTTAGGGTGAATTACGTATACTTAATATTTTATTTTAAATTATTTATATATAATTTATTTACATTAATATATAAATATAAATAAATACTACTGTTAGATTTTTTTTATATTTTAAATTGGGAAAGTAATAAGTTACTTTAGTCACAGTATTTGACTCTAATATTAATCCACTTACAAAATTACTTTTTATTTTTAGATGATTTCTTATTCTATTCTATAAGATGGAAAAACACTTTTTGGATTGAGACTCGAAGTAACTCGGCTATATAGGGCAGACGTATAGCTCGGATAAGAACACTAAAGGTCATGAAGAACGGTTACGAAAACATACATTACGATCAAAGAGTTACAATCATTAAAAGGTCAGATGTCATAGAGTATTTACGAAGGTCAGACGTCATGGAGTATTTATGAACAGGCAGGGGACGTTACCAGGGGTAACAACTGTAGCACTTGTAAATAGGAGATACCCTGGAAAGAAAAGAAAAACTAATACGCACAACAAACACTCATAACCATTCATCTAAGAGTCTCTTCAAACTCATAGCGAAGAAGTCAGCCTTTTAATGTTTTAGCAAGAACACAAAGTAAAAATATAGTTGAATGTATGAAAGTTTTAAAATATTCGGATAAAATTGGAGTATGACAACATGCATATAACATTTTTTGAAAAATCCGATATATGTAAGAATTTGATTAAATATTTAAAAAAATCTGATAAGTCAAATGTTTTTTTTGTAGTGAGGACAATAGAAAGCGACAACAAGATTAGTCCTCGTTTAAGAAAGAGTAGAGAGAAAAACGGCAGAGAGCTATGGTGGAGACGACACAAAGCAGATGTATATTAGAGCGGGTAGAGTAGTCCCCACCGTAGGAGGATTGAGGAGTCTCGTGAACCTCATGATGTCGAGCCATATGTTGCCGCTGTTGATGGTATTGAGTCAATAACTCAGAATAATATGGAGGTTCTTCCTCAGACTGATACATAGGTTCATGCTCTACCTGACATGAGGTGCCAACTCAGGTTGATATGAAGCCGCCGACTTACACAAATGGACGGTTTCCTGGAGGACCCAATGAGCATCCCTTGCTGATCACATGGTTTTTAGATTATGACAGGGAGAGGTATAAATTCTTTATATGAGAGACACACCACAAGTGGCAAATCTCTCTGGATGGGATCTACGTGATACATATGCTATTTTGCTGTTTGTTTTGGTTCTTTATGTGATGATTTGGTGTCAATGGTCTACTTCTATGAACTTTCAGGCCACACTCTGCAGCAATTAAAGAGATTGTTCAAAAGGTAATTAATATATTGGATTACAAATCTTCATGTGTTTCAAAAGATTTAGTTGGTATGGATTCTCCTATCCAAGAATTAGAAAAGCTTTTACTTTTGGACTCGGTTCATGATGTTCGTGTCGTAAGAATTTGTGGGATGGGAGGAATAGGGAAGACAACTATTGCTACTGTTTTATATGATCGAATCTCTCCACAATTTGCTGCATGTTGTTTTATTGATGATGTAAGCAAAATTTATAGATTATATGATGGTCCACTCGGTGCACAAAAGCAAATTCTAGATCAAACTCTTGGCCAAGAGCACCATCAGATATGCAACCATTACAATGCAACTAATCTGATACGACGTAGGCTATGTCGCCAAAGGGCCCTTATCGTTCTTGATAATGTTGGTCAAGTTGAACAACTAGAAAAAATAGCTGTGCATCGTGAATGGTTAGGTGCTGGTAGTAGAATCATTATCATTTCTAGAGATGAGCATATATTGAAAGAGTATGGGGTGGATGCAGTTTACCAAGTTCCTCTCTTGAATTGGACTAACTCTCTTCAATTTTTAAAGGGTTGGTTAATGGCATACTACGTTATTCCAAAGGCCTTCCACTATCAATTAAAGTATTGGGTTCATTTTTGTATGGTCGAGATGTATCTGAATGGAGAAGTGCATTGGCAAGATTGAGAGAAAGTCCAGAAAAAGATGTCATGGATGTGTTGCGATTAAGTTTTGATGACCTAAGGGAGACAGAAAAAGAAAATTTCTTCATATTGCTTGTTTTTTCAACTTCCAAAAGGAGAAATATGTTGAAAATGTTTTAAATTGCTGTGAATTTCATGCTAATATTGGATTAAAGGTTCTCATTGAAAAATCACTTGTAAGTATTGAAGATGAATCAATTGTAATGCTTAATTTGTTGAAAGAGCTAGGCAGAAATATTGTTACACAAAACACAAGCAAAGTGCCTAGAATGTGGACAAGGTTGTGGTTCCGCAAACAATTCTACGAAGTTATGTCGGAAAATATGGTAAAGTAGTTGTTTGGATATGAAAAACATATTTCCATTTTTAAATACTAACTGTATTGACAATAATTAAGTTATTTTTTCTTTACTTTCTGTTATGATTTAGGCAAAGAATGTTGAAGCCATAGTTTTGGATAATGTGGATAAGTATGGAGAGATGAATAATGAGGTTATGGATGGAGAGATAATCGAAAACTTTTCAAATCTTAGATTGCTCATCATCAAGTATGTGAAAGTATCGGGAAACCTCAATCATCTTTCTAACGAATTGAGATATATTGAGTGAAGTAGATATCCTTGAATGTATATGCCATCAAGTTTTCAACCCAACCAACTTGTTGAATTGATTTTGGTGCATAGCAGCATTGAACAACTATGGAAAGGCAAGAAGGTATTTTAAATTCTCATATTATTTTTTTCTAAGAAATCGAAACAAATAATTTATTTCCTCCTTTTGAAGGTAAATTTGTAAACAAAACAAAATAATGCCTTTAATTTTGTTGACCGTTCATACAGAGTCTGCCCAAATTGAAAATTTTGATTTGAACCGCTCCAAAAATCTCATAAAGATGCTAGATTTTGGAGATATCCCGAATCTTGAGCGGCTAAATCTGGAAGGATGTAGTAAACTTGTGCAGTTGGATCCATCTATTGGGCTTCTAAGAAAGCTTGTTGACTTGAATTTAAAATATTGCAAAAGTTTAGTAAGCATACCCAGCAACATATTTGGTCTCAGCTCTCTTAAAGATCTAAATATGTATGGGTGCTGTTTCGAAGAGTTTAACAATACAAAGCATTTGGATATAAGTGAAACTGCTTCACATTCCCAATCAACATCCTCCATCTGCAAATGGGCCATAAACCCTTCCTTGCTTCACACTCCCACAACAAATACAATTATGTTTCCTTCCTTGCTTAGCATATGTTGTTTATGTAAAGTTGATATTAGCTATTGTGGTTTAAGCCAAGTCCCTGAGGCTATTGGAGGCTTACATTGGTTAGAAATGTTAATACTTGGGGGGAACAATTTTGTGACACTGCCTAGCCTTAGGGAGCTTTCCAAACTTGTATATTTGAACTTGGAGAATTGCAAGTGTTTGGAATCTTTGCCTGAGCTTCCTTTCCCTACTACTACCGAGCAGGATCTTCAAAAGTACAAATATAGGAGGAGGAGAGCAGGATTGTTTATTTTCAACTGTCCTAAAATAAGTGATAAGGAAAGATGCAGTAGAATGACATTTTTATGGATGAAACAATTCATTCAAGTGAACAAAGAATACCACCCTGTCTTCTTTGACATTGGTATTATCTTTCCAGGAAGTGAAATACCAAGTTGGATCAACAATCAGAACGTTGGTAGTTCAATTCCCGTATCTCCTTTTATGCAGGACAAGGGCAATAATGTCGTCGGCTTTTTATGTTGTACAGTATTTTCCTTAGCACCTCATTATCCAAAAATGACAAGATTTTCTGAATGGAAACCTTCGGTACATATGAAACTGTGTGCACCGGTAGAAACCACTACATATCTTCCAGTAATTGCCAATGAAGATGTTATTAGTGTCAAATCAATTCACATATGGCTAATCTATTTCCCCTGGGAGCCGTCCCATGATGATGTGTATGATCATTTCTGTGTTGAAATTGATAGAAATGGAAGCTTGGATGTGGAGGTGAAGAAATGCGGGTATCGTTGGGTATATGAAAAAGATCTTCAAGAGTTCAACTCAACAACAATGTTAGCTCTGAAGCGGAAGTTTTTGGCAATTGAAGATGCAGCACAACCACAGTCACAGCTACACTCATTCAGATGATGAATTAAAATTATATTTTACTCATGTAACTTTAATATAAATAAGTTACCCTTAACCAATTTTCATTGTGATTCCTAGCACCCGTACAAGAAGAAACATTGACTTGATTTTCATTTCTGTTGTCACTCAAAGGTCAGCAAGGGGCCAAATGGGGGTCTGAAGCCTGTTAGCTTAAGATGGTCTTTTTTCACTGTATTTGGATCCATATTTTTGCATGTAATAATATGGTTGTTCTTTTGTTCGTGTTTTATTCAACTCGTATTTTGTCTAATATGCTTTCATTTTTCACTGTATTTGGATATCTCTATAACAATTCGACATCACTTTGAATCTTTCTAATCCTTTTAAAACACCTTTAATCTATGAGGTAGATCAAGTAATTTTTTCAAGCAATGAAGAATATGTTGAAAGGTGATGCGTCCCGATGAGGGCAAATACGGTCGTTGCGGTGTTATGATGCGGCCGTTGCGATATTATGATGCAGTTTTTAGTGTGATTTACAATCACACTGCAATTGCGGCCTGATGCGGATGTGAACAATACCGCAACCGCAATATTGCGGCTGCATCAGGTGATGCAGTCTGCAATTTAAAATCATGGAGATTTCCTGAAAATCAAAGAAAGAGGCCACGGTCTCTCGCTCCCGCTCTAAAACTTAATATCACATCTTGGGCAGGTTTTGACTTCCCATGGGTGCATTTCTTATTTGAAGAACTACATGTCTATTTCTATCAATGAGTTTTAGTTTATTATGAGAACATCCACTTGGCTCATCATAACCCAAAAACCTCAGCTCAAATTACTGACATTCTCGCAAAACCACTTCTATTTCTTTCATTCTCTTTCCTTGTTTCCAAGCGTTTTCCATTATCCAGCTTGACTTGTTAGTTTGTTTTGCCATCTATTTTCTGTTTTAACTGTTTCAATTTGGTCGTCCAAACAGTGTTAACCACTTGACATATTATCACAAAAGTTGTCTAAATTTGGTCGTCCAAAAATCATTTCTCTAATCAAAGTTGAGACGACAAAATAACTATTTGTCTACAAGTCGTTTTCTGCTCCATCTCTAATGGGCGCCTCTTATGATTTTTGGTTGGAAAAATATATATACAAACAACAACTTAGTTTTTTAAAATATTTAAATATGAGATGCTTACAGGAAAATGTAAATGAGTTAAATAATTTAATACTGACATAGACTTGGTAAACAGAAAGTTGTTATGCACAAGTGTTTGATGATGCCATAAAGATTAGAACAAGGAATGAAAATTCAACGTCTACGTGTGAAAAGGTGCCAAGAAAATCAACACTAAAAGATAAGCTTAATGGTTGCCTTTTATGACTTTTGGCTAAAATGACTTAAATTTCCATACAATGAATGATACAAGTCCTTCAAAGATGCAGGAAGTTTCTGTAAAATGTAAGTCAGATGGCTATGGCGAGCAGCAGCAACTCCTCCTTTTCAGCTCCGGTAATATTGCCAGGGAAGATGAATTTTGATGTGTTTGTGAGTTTCAGAGGTCAAGATACTCGCTTCAATTTCACAGATCATCTTTTTGCTGCCTTAGAAAGTAAAGGGATCGTTGCATTCAGGGATGACATTAATCTTCAAGAGGGAGAATCTATAGGACCCGAAATCTATTGTGCAATCGAACACTCTCTGATTTTCGTTGTGGTCTTCTCTCTCAATTATGCTTCTTCAACTTGGTGCTTGCAAGAATTAGAAAAGATCCTTCAATTAAGTCAATTATTTGGAAAACAAATTTTGCCTATTTTCTATGATGTTGATCCGTCTGATGTTAGACATCAAAAAGGAAGCTATGCAGAAGCCTTTTCCAAATATGACTCTCAGATGGTGCAAAGATGGAGGGAAGCTTTAACACGGGTTGCCAATCTCTCCGGTTGGGATGTTCGTCAAAAGTAAGTAATCCTCCTTCCTCTCACATACATACATATACAAATAAAAAACTTGTTTTTTGTTTCTGTTTTTGGTTTCCTGATGTGATGATTTGGTGTTACTTGTCAACTTGTTCAAACTTTCAGGCCACATTCAGCAGAGATTAAAAAGATTGTTCAAAAGATAATTAACATATTGGATTGCAAATCTTCATGTGTTTCAAAAGATTTAGTTGGTATGAATTCTCCTATGCAAGAATTAGAAAAGCTTTTACTTTTGGACTCGGTTCATGATGTTCGTGTGATAGGAATTTGCGGGATGGGAGGAATAGGGAAGACAACTCTTGCTACTGTTTTATATGATCGAATCTCTCAACAATTCGGTGCATGTTGTTTTATTGATGATGTAACCAAAATTTATAGACTACATGATGGTCCACTCGGTGCACAAAAGCAAATTCTAGATCAAACTCTTGGCCAAGATCACAATCAGATATGCAATCATTACAACGCGACTAATCTGATACGACGGAGGCTATGCCGTCATAAGGCCCTTGTTATTCTTGATAATGTTGGTCAAGTCGAACAACTAGAAAAAATAGCCGTGCGTCGTGAATGGTTAGGTGTCGGCAGTAGAATCATTATCATTTCTAGAGATGAGCATATATTGAAACAGTATGGGGTGGATGCAGTTTACCAAGTTCCTCTCTTAGATTGGACTAACTCTCTTCAGTTATTCTGTCAAAAAGCTTTCAAACTTGATCACATTTTGAGTAGTTATGAAGGGTTGGCTAATGACATACTATATCATGTTGATGGCCTGCCACTAGCAATTAAAGTATTGGGTTCATTTTTGTTTGGTCGAGATATATCTGAATGGAAGAGTGCATTAACTAGATTGAGAGAAAGTCCAGACAAAGATGTCATGGATGTGTTGCAAATAAGTTTTGATGGGCTAAGAGAGACAGAAAAAGAAATATTTCTTCATATTGCTTGTTTTTTCAACAGGCATTTTGAGAAATATGTTAAAAATGTTTTAAATTGTTGTGAATTTCATGTTGATATTGGTTTAAGGGTTCTCATTGATAAATCACTTATAAGCACTAAAGATGAAACGATTGTAATGCATAATTTGTTGGAAGAGTTAGGTAGAAATATAGTTGTAGAAAACAAAAGCAAAGAGCTTAGAAAGTGGACTAGGTTGTGGTTCGACGAACTACGATGTGATGTTGGAAAAAAAGGTAAAGCAGTTGTTTGGATATGAAAAACTTATTTCCATTTTTAAATACTAATTGTAATAAAAGTTATATAAGTTCTTTTTTTTTCATTTTCTGATATGCTTTAGGAAAAGAATGTTGAAGCCATAGTTTTGAATGCATATGATGATTATGATGAATATACTGATGAAGATATGGATGCAGTGATATTCGAAGACTTTTTAAATCTTAGATTGCTCATCCTTGATCATGTGAATATATCAGGAAGCCTCAACTGTCTTTCTAACAAGTTGAAATATATTGAGTGGAATTATTATCCTTTCATGTATTTGCCATCAAGTTTTCAGCCCAATCAACTTGTTGAATTGATATTGAAGGGTAGCAACATCAAACAACTATGGGAAGGCAAGAAGGTATTTTAAACTCTCATTATTTTTTTTCTTAGAAATTGAAACAATTCATTTTTTTCCTCCTTTTGAAGGTAAATTTGTAATGAAAAGAAAGTAATGCTTTTACATATGTTGATCTTCCACACAGAATCTGCCCAAATTGAGAATTTTGGATCTGAGCCACTCCGAATATCTAATAAAGATGCCACATTTTGGAGAGTTCCCGAATCTGGAGCGGCTAAATCTCAAAGGATGTATTAAACTTGTGACATTGGATCCATCTATTTGGCTTCTAATAAAGATTGTTTCCTTGAATTTAAAATATTGCAAAAGTCTAGTAAGCATACCCAACAATATATTTGGTCTCAGCTCCCTTAAAGATCTAAATATGTATGGGTATTGTTTCAAAGAGTTTAACAATACAAGGCATTTGGATATAACTGAAACTGCTTCACATTCCCAATCAACATCTTCCATCTGCAAGTGGACCATAAACCCTTACCATTCCTTGCCTAACATATGTTATCTACGTGAAGTTGATATTAGCTATTGTAGTTTAAGCCAAGTCCCTGAGGCTATTGGAGGCTTACATTGGCTAGAAATGTTAAATCTTGGGGGCAACAATTTTGTAACACTGCCTAGCCTTAGGGAGCTTTCCAAACTTGTATATTTGAACTTGGAGAATTGCAAGTGTTTGGAATCTTTGCCTGAGCTTCCTTTTCCTACTACTATCGAGCAGAATCTTCGAAAGATCAAATATGGGAAGAGATTAGGATTGTTCATTTTCAACTGTCCTAAAATAAGTGATAAGGAAAGATGCAGTAGAATGACATTTTCATGGATGACACAATTCATTCAAGTGAACAAAGAATACTTTGCCTTCTTTGATATTGGTATTGTCATTCCAGGAAGTGAAATACCAAGTTGGTTCAACAATCAGAGCGTTGGTTGTTCAATACGCTTATCTCCTTTTATGCAGGACAATGGAAATAATATTACTGGCCTTTTATGTTGTGTAGTATTTTCGATAGCACCTCATTATCCAATAGTGACAAGAAGTTCTCAATGGATACCTCAGATGACACTGAATGCACCATTTGGCCACTATGCTGTTCTTCCAATTGCCAAAGGAGATCTTATCACTGTTAAATCAAATCACATATGGCTAATCTATTTCCCTTGGAAGTCATCTTCTTGTGTTGTGCATAATCATTTCTGTGTTAAAATTGGTAAAAATGAACACTTCAATGTGGTGGTGAAGAAATGCGGGTATCGATGGGTATATGAACAAGATCTACAAGAGTGCATCCCGAGAATATGTTAGCTCATATAACAACAATGCATCCCGAGAAAATGTTAGCTCTGAAGCGCAAGTTTTGGGAAATTGAAGATGGGACACAACCACAGCTACACTCGTTCAGATGATGAAATAAATCTTAACTTTTTTGCAATTAAAGGTGACACATTTTTCCTATTTATTTTGTTATCTATAAATATT